ACTGTCAAATCAGTTTATGCCTACGTGAAGTGTCAATCCGTTCATGCTTATTTACAAGGGAAGGTCAAGAGACGGAACAGGAGAAGAAACTGCATCAACCAGTGTTGGATGGAAAGAAATGATGAGAAGTAGGGAAGACTTACTTGCTAAAACAACCACCTTTCGTGTTTACTGCCCCATCTTAAAGAGGTCCAAAATGGAGGATTTTTACCTCAAGAAACCACCTCCCTTTCTGTCTGTCTCTTGCTTCTTAATGGTGGTGCCATCGTGCGATTGCCTGATGTCAAGTGTAAGTGACTATCATCACTTGGAGAAGGACTAATTAATGAAAATGGAAGACTAGGCAGTACCTTTCCCTAGGTAACCTCCGCAGTTGTTAGAGATCTTGCCCAGAATGCCTTATAAGACTAGTTCTGGTTTTGATGACTTCCTGCAGAGGTAAGTTTTCTTTCACATTTTCAGTGAGTAGACAGAAATCAGTGGTAATTATTGCTTAATATTCATTAAGTGAATGATTCCTTCTGAACAATCAAGTTCTCACTTTGCTGCATGAAGGGTTGAGTTTTGTAGAGATAAAAAGGGATATAAAGGGACGGCTGACAAAATTTTGGTTCACCTAGCGCTGTACAAAATGCCAAAATGCCCTTTCTCATCACAAGTGAGTGAGCGAATGGCATGTTTTGTAGCCTGCAAGAAGTGAAAGATCGCTTTCAAGTCTTTTAATGGAGAGCACTGTGAGGGCCGTTAGCTTAGCTTCCTCAGATTTCCTTTTTCGCCCGCTGCAGATGCAAACGAGGTGCTTCAGCATTGCTCACTTTCAGTTTCTCGGATAGGTCTTCCTGTCACGTCATCCTCAAATGTGGCGCTTGATTTCTCAGTGTTAAGAAGAACTTTGAATCTCCCTGACCCTGAAGTAGCATCCAACTTTCCACGATTTTCGCTCCAGATTAAAGGGACTTCAATCATTTGTGAATGGAGGGAAATGCGACTTCTGCACCCTTGGGACCAACTTAATTTCTATTCGCCAAGAAGGCGGACTTGAATCATAGGATGAGGTAAGGTTTTGCAGTGAGATGAGAATTATCGAGAAGGGAATTAGCAACACCTCATCGAATGCAGGCTGACAAGTTCCTACAAGTTACAACAAGCTTTCATCCAACTGTTTGTGTGCAAACAATCTAAATCAATGATGCCTGTCAGTCCACCACCGGTTCCACGCCCTCCGTGGTGCTCCTCGCTGCCTTATTTTGAACTCCTGTGGACTGGATGGATATCACGCGAGCTTGTCAACTTTGCGAATTGAGGGGAAGTTGGATTTCCATCAAGTTTGTTGTACATTATTGGAAGAAGTTGCAGTTCAGCAGGGCACGATGCTTCTTGTGATGCTTTCCTCTGTCGTCCTCTCAACCGGCAGTTATACCTGATGGATGCGATTTCACATTGCCTACCTTACAATTCGAGTCTGGCTCAGGCTTTAGGGTTGATGGAGCCCATTAAACTCCAGATTTTGTGACTTTTAGAGAAGACATGATAGCAAGAAGTAGAGCTCAGAATCTAGGCTATCAGCTCGCAGATAACCCTCCACATCATCTAATATCGGTACAACCTGACGGCTGGGATTCAAGCCTCATTCATTCACATTCAAAGAGGGTATATTGGACAATAAAAGATGGTTGAAAGGAGGCAGACTGCTGACTCATTTGGCATGATTTGAACTTGTTAATGATCAACGCCTACAGAATTAGGCATGACTAGTCACCAAGCAGGGAGAAGGAGCAGGACTTGGCCGTCTATTGGGCTGATAACACATTTGGAAAGAGATTGTCTTATCATTTGAATAATCCTCATATTTCACCAATCATCAGGTAGCTACAGCTTTTATTGACAGCCGACAACTGCGCAATTGCATGCCAGGCAAAACAGTGAGTTGGAAAAGGTCATGTGGAGAGGTATTTCGCAGGTAGCTTTCCTCTCTCTGGAGAAGGAGTAAGCACACTAATGATAGCTGCTTAGAAGAAGAAAATCATCCAAAACTTTTGGATGCATATTTGACTTTTCCAGGATTTCGTGCCTCACCTTTGCGTGTGGCCATCCAATCACCTTCGATCCTGTCTTGTGGTTATCTGCAGTTCTTATAAGAATTCGTTTTAACCCAGGAGGAGGAGGGACCACTACACAGGTCTTTCAACCTCTGCGGTTCGTACTTCGGTCTGGTAGCACAGTCTCCCATCCGAATTTAGAGGAGATTCACAGCGTTACATATTTAACATCTATTAGCTTTCCTAGCATAACGATGAAGATTCCACGACTTATTGGAGGTCATATGAAAATGAATTTACCTCTAAAAGTTATCCGTGACCTTGAAATGAGGTATTAACGGATCTCGTGCGAGTGAGAAGGGTTGACGGTTGCAATTTACAAGGTCAATTAATTAAAAATTCCCCCATAACTTCAAGGTGTTGCCCTCTCTTGACATGTCAAGCATTATTTTCTACAAACCAGCATAGCCAAAGGAAGGGCCGAGAGGATGAAGGTATGAACAGGATGATGACTGAACCTCAGAAACAAGTTGACGCCTGCTTTTACAACGTCCACCTTACTCTGAGCGGAGCTTTCTCCTCTGTTTGAAGTCTTCCGGGCAAGTAAATATCCAGAGGTCTGGGTTTTATGTCTGCTTTGATCACCACCTGATGCCCCATGCACATGAATGCTATCACTGGTGTACAACAACTTAGCGAATGGAGTGAACAAGACCAGACCAGATGAGATCCGAGTGACCTATGCACGGCTATAACAGGTAGAAATGAGCACACTCGTATAAGGCCCTCCCATGAATGTTTCTCCTTTAATTTCCCAATTTATGGCAATTATCTTCTCGAAATTCTATCTATGTTCCGAGTTTCCCCTAAATTGTGGAGGGACATCCATGCATCTGGAGACGGAGCTCTTCTTTAAGCAAGGGTCTTAACATTTTTCCTTTACATCTGCATTAGAGGTGTAGATGTCATCGTAAGGCTTTCTATTTCAGGCGACGACAAGATATTACCTGTTAGCTTGGATTTTTATCCTTTCCAAAGACCTTAAATGCCTGTTGTTGGCCCTCAATTGCCCTCTAAAAATGCCTTCAGAGCCCAGATTAATCAGTACAAAGAGTTTTCGTGGGGTGATTGCCTTATCTCTTAAAAAAATTGTGACTTTAAGGGAATTCGCTGTGATTCATCGGCTGTTCTCATCGAGACAACTCCATAAAAATCAAGCCACCTTTTTTGCCTCACTTTTGTTCCCCAATTGTCTATTTCATCTCTCATGGAATTTTCGGCTTTCCTCCCACTGAATGAACAGTACTGGCTGTTTCCGAAAGATAACTTTCCTCTGAATGCCTTTGAGTTCATAAATCTCAGCAAAATACTTTCCATCCGACCTTTAGGAGGTGAAAAATTGCTTCTTCACTTCACCACACGCACAAAGGGAAGGCCTGGTGATGTAAGGAGGCAGCTGGACCTCAGGAGAAGGTAATGGATATCGGGTTGATTGTTTGGGCGCAGCCAAGAAAGCATTCATTCTGCCAAGGATTGAGTCAGTCAACAAACAATTCACTTGATAACCTTTGGTGATTCCTGTCATCTATTTATAGACAGTATGCGAGATCCATTTGTCTAGCCTCCTTGATTTTCTGCTTTGATAGAAGTGAGAAATTTTTCCAACGTTTCTGGTCTTCAATTCTTTTTATATTTCAACACCATTAAGTAATTCTTCAGGAGCCCCGCCGACAGTAAAAAATCTCCTTGACCTTGACGAATTGTCAGATGACTTATCACCGGAATCAACCTGGTGATGCTTCCTACAACTTCACCCTCTTCAGATAAGATATGATTACTTTGAGCAGAGCTACTTTTCACCTTCAAGGAGATCATATCCGCAAGAGAAGGTTGATTGGTCTTGTGTATTTCCTGGGCATGTCTTCTTGTTTCAAATCGCCCACCTCAAGTTAGTCCATAAGTTGCCTTCTAAAAGACAACAAAATGACACTTAAGAAACTCAAAACCTAGATTTAAAAGCTTTTTTAACGTTTGACCAAACCTGAAGCTTTGTTACCATGGATAAGTATATTTAAACGAACTAGAGAGTTAAATTAATTTACTTTTGTGAGAAAGAATACTGTCAGGCGATCTTTTGCATATTGACGGTGTTAGAAGATCGGGAGAGAGGGAGAGATGGCGGCAGCGGCGGCAGCAGAGGAGGAGGAGGAGGAGGAGTGAGGAGGAAGTAGAGAGAAAGGGAAGGGGTGGAATAATTACTTTTTAATTTCCAACTTAAAAGGTCACATCAAGCACAAAGGCATCACGCAAATTGTGCTTTTGAAAACCAATCTGAAGTTAATTTAAGCGATTGTAAAGTGTTTAAAGTAAATCAAAAGTGATTGGTGAGTGAAATCAGACAGATATTCCTCACAAATGATGTGGAGCCTACCGTGGTAAAGAAGTTCATCTGGGACGCTGGGAAGTCGTGCCAACCTCAAGTCCTGCATCATGTTCACTAGCCGTCAAGGAGGAACCAAAAGTGCCCATGACGAAGCTGCTTCCAACGTTGATGGGATGATGGTAAATATTGGGAAAAATCCTAGCATTCTACACCTCTTTTGGTGATATCTTTCAATGTAGCATTCACTATGGAGTAATAAATTAATGAACCTTACGAATAAGGCTCCCTAGTCTCCTCTTTAATGAAGTGTACTACCTTGGAAACGGATACATACATGTTTCGTAAACCAGTCACTTTTATGTGGTAAAGTTTACCTCAAGGCAACTTGAAGTGGAGATGAATTCAGGTCCACAGATCACTATATTAGAAATCGTCAGAAGTTCTTTAATAAAATGACCTCTCCTATCTTCATACTGCTATGCAGCAGTATGTATAACTCTTCAGTAGCACGCCTTCAAATATTTGACTTCCATTAATTCCACAAACGTAGCTGGTTTCCCTCACCACTGCTACCATTGACACACACTCCCGAGCCGGTTCCAAAGATAAAGCAGGACAGACACCTTTAAAAGAAGAATTGGAGAACTATTCCCCCAGGTTAATAAAACGGGTCGTATTGAACTCAGCGTAGACTGAACCGGAAGGATTTGTAGTCCTGCGGAAAAGAGACGTTCTTTCGGTAGAATAAGATGTAAGTAAACGACTTATTTTCCCAAAATTGGGCTTTTGAGACTGAGAGGTTACCGAAGAGCCAAAAGACCGCAATTACAGATGGTAGATTCCCTCTTAAAAATCCTACAACTTATCCCTGTTTCCCACTTTATAATTACGTTAAAAGTGACCTACATGGGGAATAAGCATTTCCTTCTCCTAATGATTATAGAAGTCGAAATACTCACAACTTGTAGCCTTACGGAAAACAATCATGCAAGAAAGACCATGTTGTAAAAGAGGTAAGCGGAAAAAGCATCTATGACACTCCATAAATGGAAGTACCTCCAATCGTCGTCAGTTTTAGGTAGCTGGGACCTCACGTACACATATTCACACTTATTTATTTATCCATAAATTCGCTCTTCTGTGTGAAAGTGACCCCAACCTGTCAATGATTAAGCACCCAGTGACTGGTACTGAATAGAACACCACCCGAACAATTAGTCACGCCTTCCTGACATGGTTTGCGTCTTCCACGTAATTGGTCCATCTGGAGTGTCATGGCGATTACTACAACTTTAACCTTTGATAATCTATCTCAAGATGCTTGAACGGTCAGCACTTCATGAAAGCATTGCCTAGATAGTCAATTAATTCTTCAGGTTATATTTCTTGCATTTGATTGGTTCAGGCGAGATTTCCTAGCATTTGATTGGTCAGTAGTAACTGATTATGGACCAATAAGAGACGAGAACGGACCATCACTAACGGTTTAAATCCAGCTTAGGGATAAAAATCCTTTTTCGGGTGGGCTACACATGCATTTTTTTTTCTTAAATATGTGAAAAGTGAGAAAAATTATTTTCCCTCATTACTCTTCCATTTTACGCTTGAGATGCACTGGAGGATGGTAGTTCCACTCCTGAGGCATTTGAAGTGTGACAAGACGGTTGCTGCTAACCCACTAGGTGCATCCACTGTAAATTAATACTTTTTCTTTAGGCAAAAAATATAAATTAGAATAAAATGACCGAATAAAAACTTTGTGAGTATGAGACAATATCTGAGGTGCTAAAGTACTTAAAAAGTTGAGAACAGAGCAGTACCCTAGCTATTCGGAACTCACCATAACTTACAGTTCAGCGTTCCGGCCAATGATGAGGGGAGGTTATATTTTAATCACTGTGTAATATCTCTTCGAGGGCCAATTTCAACTCTAAAATGAGCGCAATGAATAATTTCGTGGTCAGCGGACATGTTTCCCGTCCGCGAATGTAAACGATTGATGCACAGGAAGTGGGCTAGCAATAAAAGCGACCTCCAGTAGTTCCCACTATCTCCCAAATCAATCTTTCCCTGAGGTAGTCTGTACTCCAGAAAATACTCTACTCAGGAATTCTAACCAAAACCATAGGATTTACTGTCACTAGGTAAAGTAGGTGGGATTCGCCTCTTTTTTCGAATCCTTTGTTCTAGCATTGTCCACACATCTCGTAGCGAAATGTAATTAATGGATAGACTCATACGAATAGCCACGTAGAGCTCCAACGATGGTATGTGCAGCTAACTCCGTTGTCTATTCATCACCGTCTTGTCTATGTCATTACCATTCAAGATCCAGAATGATGCATTTTATTACGTCGACGGAGATGGATCCAACGTGGGTCAACATTAAATTTGAGTGCATTAAATGTTCACTTTAATTAATCTTTCCAATCTCCCTACAAAGGTGAACCTGATTTGAACCACTTTACAGTCTTCTGCTGGGGCTACTTGAAGGCCTCCGAACCTCCTACCGGTTTCAAACACTCTACAAGCTCCTTGTCATTCCCTAGGTTTAGCCCTTGACTACACTGGTTGGCATCTCGATAACCTCCATGCTAGCACAAGTAAACTGCAGTCGATGAAATATTTCTTAAAGAAATGCCTAAAATTTCCTTCTGAATGCAGCACCCTTGACCAACTCCAAAGTCTCCCAGGTTTTCTGCACCCTGCTGATAAATGTCAGAGTGTCGTCGATTTAAATCATGTGTTCGGAGAGGGCTGGAGAGGGGGTAGCAAAAATTTACTTTCATACATTAAGTCAGTCCCGAAACTTTTTGGGATGTAGCTACCTTCCACCGATTTACTGTTGTCTAAATTGTCCAAAAAAAATTAAAATTTTTACACATTGGTCGCTACAATGCAGGGTCAAGGTTTTGTAGCTTTCCTTCCACTTTACAAAGAAAGCCGTTCTACAAACCGTCTAAAGTTATCAGTGTCTCTTCAAAGGGCCATACGTCCGGAAAGCTTATCAGAACGCTTTAAAACGGTGAAAGTAATATGTCCACCCCCTTCTGGGAGGCAAAAATTTGTTTTAACTAAACAACGAAAAAAACAGAAGATGAGTAGTGTGAATTGACTCTTGCTTTAATGCATGATTCTTCAGTCTCAGTGGATCTGTATCTTCGCCTTCTAGCTCTTCTGTGATGACGGCATTGGGAAGCCGACTCAATCGGTTGATCACAACCGTAAGTGTGATAGGAGAAGGGTATTCTTACGGTGAAGGACCTAAACAGGACCTACTCTCGGTCAATTCCCAACTTCTGCTGATGGAAGAAGGTCGAGCACCACCCAAATTCAAATGACCCGCAAGAGAGGCTCATGGACCAAACGACTAAAATCATTGTCAGGGAATATGACCTTGTCCTCCTATCTGATGTTGGTCTTCGCCAAATGTAACCACAAAAAGTGACAGACAAAGAGAATGTGCTCATTTGAGAGAAGTGGTCGCTGTCCTTGTTGCTATCTCCCAAATGGATTCTTCTTCCATATAGTAGGCTTGTATATGTGATTTTGAGACATATGGTGAAGATATACGACATGTGACATTACTCAGAGGTGGTATTATCACCGTGAAATGTGGAATGACCCTGGAGACTGTTATACTTACTACACACCCTCTCCACTCGTTTTGAGAGGAGGACTAATCGTGGTGAGCCCAGGAAGGGGGAGTGATCTCGTGCGTTTTATTCGATATTTGTATCATTGTACGCTCCGTGGTTTCCTCCTCCAACGAAGGAGGCTAGAAGAGGAAAGGTTCTTCAAGATTCCGGGTGCCACACTTCACCACTCTTGTCGAATAAATGAAGGCATAAAAAAAGGTCTTTGATCATACATCAAACACGACTGCGACTTGGTTATATTTCACTGATCAAATGATTGAGCTGAATAGGAAAGGCGAGAGGGGATTTGTTTTCTCTCCAGAAATAGGGCATCAATTTATACCCGTCAACTTATTTTTAGTCCTCTGAGGTGGAATTTTTTAGCGACTAAATAACTTCCGGAGGAAATGGAACTATAAAGACCAATGTGTCTGATTGATCAAAAGATCGCCTAAATTTGACTGTCCCAAACCGCAATCTCGCTGATTATTGCGATGGCGACACTCAATGCAAGTGTTTACGTTTCCCCGGAGGTCGGAATGATCTGGCCACGCCTGCTATGACCTTAGGTTTGGGTCACCTTGTGTTAGTCATCTTATCACTCAAGTTTCCTGCGTCGATGCAGCTAAGTTAACCACTGCTAATTAAGAGTTGATTAAATTTCATTTACTTTTATCTGGATCTTTACGGCCTCTCAGGCGTCGACTTCCATCCTACTACTTGCCCCAAAAACTTCCTCCTCATAATGACAGCGATTCCACCTCCAGACTCTGATGCTGTGAGACGTTTTCGAGGTGGTCTTTCAGGAACTGTTAAGATATGAAAAATTGTTAAAAAGAGAAACAAAATGTGCTACAGTGGTGCTCCCTCTGGTTTAAATGATTTGCCTCGTCAAGGTGCTCTGCGCCCTTAATAATCCATCCTGAGGTAACGCTTTAATGTGATGCGTCTAGACGAGAAACGGAGCTTAGGAGACACAAGAAAAGCAAGAGGGGAGGGTGAATTTGCATTATAAAAATCGAGTGTAGCCACAAAACCGTCAAAGGTACAAATGAAAGGGGCCATTAGGGGATCGTTTAACCTATTTTTTCTCGATTCTGACATAGCTATGTCTTCTGAAAATGGGAGAAAAGCGGCAATTTCTGTGGGACCAGGGCTTTTGTTTACGACATAGAAAAGCTTGTATGCAAAGTCATTTTAAACAGTCGTTCCGATGTTACCGGGTGGCCGAAGAAGCTGATCCTGCCATCGGCACATATTTCAGGAACTTCTCGAAAGCATGTTCTTGCCTTTCTGGCCGCATTTTAAATCACAGGCAAGGGTAAGGAGCTCACGACTGCTTCAAATCCACCTTCATATTATAAAACGTCGTCTGAACCCGTTGGATGTGCTCCGACCTCATTGGCTTTATTGTGATTAATTCAGTGTCAAGGTTGTTGAGGCCTCTCGTGCTCGAGGTGGGGAATCGCCCAGAGCTGCACCACTATGACAAAGTCCATCCCTTCTTGATCATTAATAATTGAAGATTAGCGTGCCAAGAACAGTTTGCTCACATCTACCTCAACTAAGAAAGTCCTTGAAGCCACTGAGGAAGCGGGGTACACCCACAGGCCATTCATTAGCGAATGTAAATGCACTTCAAAGATCAACAGGATGTTCTTTGCTTTTTTCCCGCACGTCATAAAAATGCTGCATGCATTTTAGAGTGTTTGCCTACTGACTGATTTGTTAGGCGAAATGGTATGTGGGCTGCGGTTCGGCAACTACCCATACATACTTATTTTTAAGGAACGGAACTCTAGCCTCACGAGGAAATATGCCCACCATGTTAATGGTGAGCCACAGATCTAATTGTTCACTTGTGGCCAAGAGCATCTGCCGATACGACACCACCCGATACCTTTTTAAAGGTGTTCAAAAAGGATGCTGCGGAGAGTATCCCCGAAAAAGTTGGCCCCATAAATTTCCCAGAAGCTCTTGTCCTGCGTGATATATTCTTCTTAAAATCGAGAGACCGCTTACATGGCTCCTGCCTACCATTGTTTGCAGGACCCATTGCGAGGAGCTAGAATTGGAGGTGGAGGCAAGCGCGGAGGAAGGGAACGTTCAACTTGACATCCCCTTTGTGATGGATCACAAATCACTCGTTCTCTTGCTGAAGGTCAATCAGTTGCAGTCAAGGTCAATCTTCCCCACACAACACGGCACAATTCAGAGGTATTAAAAAAGGGAAACTCTCCTCCAAAAAGTTGGGATTCGTATGGAAATAATCAAAAAATTCATTTCTCCTCACAAGAAACCCATGCTTTTGATTGAAGGAAAGTGTTATCTCATCCTCACCCTTGGCATTTCTCCAAGTCACATGCGGGCTTAAGCCTGCCTGAGAAGTAAATAATAAACAATGGATGCTTGAAGACGTTTTCAGGGAGTTAATAGTTCTTCTAGAAAAGTCGCACGACATTGAAATGGCTGTCCCTTTCTAATCTACCGATTTATAGTTGACGGAACTGACGATATTCACCCGAAATCATGTCATTAAAGTAATTAATTTGCCTTGAAAATGAGTTTGACGAGTAATATTGGAGAATTTTATACGCCTCCCTCAGTCTGGAAAGATTGGCCTAAAGCTTGCACCTTGGAAGAATGACAACTGGAGAAATAGGGTCAACGTAGGAGAGAAGCCGGCTGAATTGAGGCGCGACATTATCCACTTCGAATTGCATCCTCGATCTAAAGGCGGATTCATTCATTCGTTGGGGAGTTATTTTGGAGAATTCAAGACGTTTCTGTAATGAAGGGCAGAAGCAGAGCTATCTACATGTCTAACCGCCTGTAGTCGCGATCAGAAGGATTGGGAAAAGCGATGATTCGCTGTGTAATTGGATGACTATTAACGAAGTCCCAAAATTCCTTAGAGGCAAACTTCTGCTATTTAATAGTAGAATTTTTCTTACACGAGGAATTGGAGGTGATCTAAAGCTCCAAATTGAGAAAATTGGTGAGTGGATCCCATCCATATAACAATTATCCATGTTTCATCAATTGGATTCCGCATCAGAACGTTCCCGAAGGACCTGAATTTGCAGATGCCCACCATAAAGAGTTACCGAAATTTTATGGACATCCAGTAGCCACCTGCGTTTTAGCCAATAGTGGCACGAAATTGGGATTTGGGGACCAAGAAGGTCCTTTTCCTAGTATTTGCAAAGATTTGTTTAATAGGCTGGGGATCCGACATGCACCTGCTCGTTGCTGCTTTAGGTCGAATCAAGGACGACTGGTGCACGAAATGCAGCCGCTGTAGATTTTTGTCAAACCTTAGACAATCTTTCCCCTTAAGATGCGAATCAGTGACACCATCTACGTTCCTGTCTGAAGCTCGAGTGCGATTTAAGCGACGGCCAAAGCAGGAGAGTGACCATAGGGAGCGTCAAGGATGACGCTCGAAAGAAATAAAAAAGTTTAAACTAGTGAAGAACCATTTGTTTAAGTTGTCGTTTGTCAATCGGATTCATCAGCCTGCACCGCCTCAGCGGAATGGCACCCACTCCCCTCCTTGCGCCTTCTTAGTGCCAAACTTTCTTGTTATTTGTGCATCTAACCCGCTGACCGACTTATTCTTCGAGCTCTATCTTGTGAGACCGAAAGAGTTTACCATAATTTGCAGGTCCAGCTTTGTGTGAATGAACTCATCAGCTTCTTAAGTCATTCCTTAAGTCGCAACAGCCAAAAACCCCTGTAAGAAGTTGGTGTGATTCTTGGCAGTACTGACTGCAATGACTAGCTGGGACCTGTAGGGATTGTTTATAGACACCACGAGGAACAGATACGTGCCTCTTGGTCAGTGGCATACCCTTTACATTGTCGTCTAGTACTTTCTCCTCATTTTTAAACCCTCATGCTGTCCAATACTACCTGAATCAGACAGGCTTGATTTGAGGCTGTCTCCTTCACTAGGTGGGTTATACTTGACCGCCAAAGTTTCAGGAGCTGGTTATTCTTCACATCTATTGTGCTGTGGTAGCTGAATGTTCTATTCTGACATATTTGATGCGACTGAAACATCACTCAATGATACATCCACCTCGTTTAGGACGATCCTCTGTTACCAGTCATGAATGGTGATGAATTGCTTGTTGCTGTTGACACATTGAGACGCTTGGAGATTTACTTATCAAGGGCAGCACTCATGTGTATTTAGCGATAAAAACGAAACTTAATCCCCCACTAAATCAACCGGACAAAGGAAGTTGTAGACTCTAATTGAATAGTTCCCACCCAGACGTATTCACAAAATCAGTTGACAACTTATCCTTCCCTTCTTACATGTGCCTTGTAAAAATGTGAGGGCTGAGCGTCCACGGCACTGGATAGCCTCAATAGGCTATTTTTCGAACTTCTATGCCATTAAAGTGGCCTACTGTTGAAAGGTTAAATATTCCCCTTGGTAAGCTGTACTGAGCTTGGGATCTACCCTGAGTTTAGGTGTTAATGAGCTCTGCGCTTTTGCTTTCCAAAGAACCTTGTGGGCTTCTGGAGGGGTCAACAACATTGGCATCATCTATTATTAAAAGGACAGACGTACCACTTTCAATACCTTCTCCATGTCACCCCCTGGCAAATAATGGAAAGCTTCTGTTTGACTTGAACAACCCAGTTTAGCAGAAAACTCTTTGGACTGATTTAGAAGTTGGCAAAACCGTCAAACCGTCGGTTTTTGTTAGCTTCGACCTCAGCCCCACCCGCCACCAAATGTTTCAGCCTCACACGCGATTAAGCTAAACTCCACCTTATTCGAGCGCCCCCCGATCTCGGAAAGATTGGGGAACAGCTTAATTTGCAATTCAATTTATCAACTTGTTCCGCTTTTGTTTTCTTTTCCCAAATGCATAAAATAATAAGAATACAACATTATGGTTGCGTGCTACCTCAGAGTGGGCGGGAAGAGGTAAGAAAGCATGGTTGGCACCAGAAAGACCCTTACAAATGTTGAGTCTCACCGGACAAATGCGAATGGGGGCAAACGGAATCACAAATAAGTTATCAAAGAGGTATCGAACCAAATGTCAACTTGTCACTTTGAGAAGTTCCGCAGACTGACCAAAAAACGCGAAATCAGTGCATGACTGAATAATCGTGTGACCAAGGTCCGCGTGGTTGAGCGTGCAGCCGTCCTCCCAAATAGTCGCCTCGGTCACAATTGGACCTGGAGTTTTGAAACCACCCATGCGGGACGGAAAAAAGATGGGTCCGGGTTTCCTTTTTTATAGCTTAGGGCGGGCATTTTTAATTATGTCCTCTTTGTGAAGTAGGTTATGTGATTTCAATGACTAGATGTTCCTGGAGGCTAATCTATTAAACCATATCCAAATATGACAGTTCCTCATAGTTCCTCCACCATTTTAACTTTAGTCTTACCTCATTTGCCTATCGCCTTGTGTTGGAGTGTTGTCGAATTCCAGGGGCGATAATCCAAGAGACAACAGCGTCACAATAAAGGTCTTTACTATCGACAATCTGGACACTCTCCAAGTACGGCGGGAACGTACACACCCGCTTGCCGCAGCAACGGAGTTCAGAGGTGGCCCATTTTGACCGATCTTGGAGACTATTTTACTCTATTCTAAGAAATGTTCTAGAATATCGAAGAAGGAAAGTTTATTCGAGGTTGCAAATCCTCTCAATAGCTTAGGGCGCAAAATAAAGAAATGTTGATTGCCTAAAGTCGACCGGCCGTGAATAGCCTTCTGTCTTAAGTCCTCACAGATTCAGTCATCTGCAACTCACGTCTTCCTTCCGTCCAGCTTAAAAATAGTATCCAGACAACGAAATCGGAGAGATGTTGTTGTCTTTTTAAGTGCATTGCTAGCTTTAACATAACCGCCAAGAAGGGGAGCATCGTGAAGCCAAGTTCCTTGGGGAGAGAGGAGATGAGGAGCCTGCCTGATCAACTGCCATTTTACGGGTTAAAACCACGTTTTGATCATTTGATCGATGAACCTTTGTTTCTAATTCCCAATTTCTACCCAAAATGAGTCAAAGTATTCTTTTCCGATTACGCTTCGGGACAGATCTGTTACTTTCTGTGATAAAAAAAGGCATTTTTGGATAGGAAGCTCTTGAAATAGTCTTTGAGATTAGCTCGCGGATGTCTTCCGGTTTTGGTTAATATTTGTCAAAACTTGTGACTGTCAAGTTCGGAATGACTAAGTAAATATTTTGTTTAAAAATCTTTGGTTGAGGAAATTTCCTTTTTAAAATTTTTTGATAAAATAAGTCCATCATTCTCCTAAAAAATGCTAGTGAATAAGGAATAAGGGAACTTTTCTGACTAAAAGCAGTAACGCGGATGATTTTGGCTTGGACCAAAAAGTCGTGGCTTTACTCAAGTAGCACTACTTTTATCCCTTCCAGAAAGCACACACCGGGATGTGTGGATCACTGGGCAACGACTGGAGCCGTTACTCGCATTTTGCATCCAAATCGACAACTTCAGGGAAAGATGACGATGGTTTTTTGAATGCTTACTCTAAACAGAATTGACAATGTGGAGGAATCAAGGGAAGCAGCGCAACCTTGGCGCCTTCCTTGACTGAACAATGAAATCTAAGTGACAGACAAGGTAAACTTGCGAAACCCTTTGCCAACACGACTAAACGCATTCGGGCGAGTTCTCTTCCAAGCAAAATGTCCATTTCTAGAGGGAACATTCAGGAGTAAATGATAAGCAAAAGCACCAGATGCTAAATATTTTAAGGAAAATTAGCCCACATTATGCAAAAAGCTGACTGGACAGTAAGTCATGATCAAATATTCGCTGTTAAATTTCATCCCTTGCTTCGGTAGAAAGGAGTTACTTCACTCCAAGTTCCCCTTTAACCATGAGGTGGGAATTTAGCGAAAAATGGTGGTAAAATCTAAGGGAGAGGTGGAATTGGATTGCAAAAGCAAGCATTATATAAGTTTTCCTTGACAGTGGGGAATCGACGACTTTGGGTTCCCATTTCGATTGTCTAATGGTAGAAAGGATATTTTATTTCCTCCAGCCAAATGGATTCAAGCTATTTTACACCTTTGAATGTGAAAAGAGGAAACAAGTAAGTTTGAAGCTAT